CCAGCTCGATCCCTGCAGCTCGTGGTGCTACAACAGCGACACTTGCAGCCTCTGAATTCAAATGTAAAAGGAGCAGAGTCACCAGCGCAGCCAGCAAAAAAGGCAGTTGTGGGGGTCCGCACAAGCTCCGCGCAGTGTCTGAAAGTACAAAGGTTGTAACTGAGGGAAGGCGAGGAGCACTCCCCAGCACCACGGCTTGGCAAGAGGTGAGTTCAACAGAAGGTGGCGGTTTGGGGAGATACTGGGATGCTAGAAAAACTATGTGGAGCAAGAGCATATTTACCATTTCATACCTGGTCAGCCCTGTAGAAAGCTTGTGGGCTGACTGAGGTGCCAGCATGGCCGATAGCTTGAGTTTAAGGGAGTGGCTCTAAGGGGAACCCGTTACGGGACTGCTCTGATGTGCCGTAGGTGTAAGCAGATCCCTCTGGAGTAAGTGTGAACAGGCTGGTTACAAAAATGTTTGGAGACTGATTCCCACTGACATCCGGTGCAGCCTCCCCTGAGAAATGGGGCTAAAAATGTCCCTGAAATACTGACTTTCCGGTGCCTTTGGCCACCACCTCACCTCCCAGGGCTGTGCTTGTTCAGTGACTTGGTTTGTGCTGAACCACCGCCCCGGGCACTTGTCTTTCTGCCACAGCCTGCTGTGACAGCTGACGTCAGGCAATGTTTCGGGAGAAAATGAAACTTAACAGGGAATAGAAACTAGGGCGGAGGCCTGGCAGTAGGGGAAGCATGGCCAGGGCCTGCAGAGCCCTGTGCTGGAGGGGGGGGTCCATGGGCCTCCGCTCTCCACCCGTTTTTAAGAGCAGCCCAGGTCGGGGCGGGGAATGGCAGTGTTTTTGTGGTCCCTGCAGCCTGTGTGCACGCCAGTGGGGCCTGGGTACTATGGGCTGCATGGGTGGGCAGGGAAGGGATGTAGCCATGGGTGTGTGGGGGCAGAAGTGTCGTCCCCCACCCCCACCCCAAGCTGCTCAGACAGTCCCACATGCCACTGCTGAGCAGCCCTTTTCCCAGTGGGAGTGGGGGGGCAGCGCTGGGAGGGTGGCAGTGCAGGGAGAGCCTTGCTTTTCCTAGGCTTGCTACCAGTAAAGTAACGTGCCAGGCTGAGAATAACCTCCCGCTCCCCACCTTTCCTCCCCCCACCCGCCTCCCCATGCAGGACCAGCATGGCGCTGGGAGGGCTTACCTTGCGGGTGACTGAACTGGCTCCAGTGCTGTGCTGCCAGATCCTGCCTGCAAAGAAAG